CCTTAAAGCGCCAATATAATCAGCCATTCGACAGAAGTCCCACCAGATAAGCTATGCATTAACAAAGCGTAATTCAAGCGATGGCACCTCAATCGAGTGCCAGACGCTGACCCCGTGACCCGCGGCCGCAGCCGGCCGAGGGCGCAGGCCGGTAGGCTTAGCAACCGCTAAGGAATGCGACACCTCTCCGAAAAACTGCCAGATACAAAAATCACCTTTCTAACTCCCTCTAACCCCAAACCCCATCCTTACCCAATCCATCCTGAATCCTCCTCTCCCATATCATCCGCCTTCCCCAGCCCCTAGGCTTTAAGCCTATATTCTATGAACATTATAATGCATGGGCTCATTATAATGGAGTGCGTGTGATCATGCAGACACTGTTCAAACGTTTGTACACGAGTATGAGTGTGTATACATAGTAGTGCGCTGATGCATAAAAATTGTGTCTGTGCAGGAAAGAGAATCAATATATACGTGGATATGTGTATATGTGCGTGTGTGCGTATGCATTCATATGGGTGTATTTATATTATTGCATATGTATATGCGAGTATGTACATGTGTATGTACATATATGTTTCTGTGGAGATGCGTATATATGTGCATAAGTAGAAGTGTTTATGTAGGTATATGGGTATATGTATGTACGTACATATGTATGGGCAGTCATGTGTGTATGCACATATGTGTGTATGTTGGTGGATGTATGCATGTGTATGCATGTGGATATATGCATGTGTGTATATGTATATATGTGTAATGTATGTATATGTGTGAATATATTTGTATATGTATATGAATGTATAGATATACATATATGTGTGTATGTGTATATGTACGTATGTATGTGTGTGTGCATGTATGTATACGTAATTGTATGGGTATTCATAGTCATAGGTATGTATTCAAGGTATGTGCCCACGAATACGAGTGCAAGAGCGTGGATGAGTACTTACATATGTATGCGTATATGACGTGCACGTATCTTTATATATGTGTATGCATGCGCATAGGTGTAGTGGTGCAAAATGATATGCTCCCTTGCATATCATATGCATAAGAGCATTACAAAGGCGTACGCTTTCATGTGATAGTGCACGAAATGACCATATGCGTAGTACTTAGGGCATTTGCGGATGAGCAACTATGTCAGCACTGAGCACACATACGCACAAATAATATCAGTGTATAAAATACAACCACACTTATACGCTCTTCCGATACTCAAGCCCATGCTCACGGGAGTATACCCTGGTGTAATGAGCAGGCCCGTGTGTTACTGGTTATAAGTCCACACTAGGCAGGCCTAGTCTTGCTGGAGGGGCTTATCAGTGGCATCCCGGCTAAAATACTCCCTCTCCCACCAAGATACACTTAGGCCAGTAGGCGGGAGGTAACTCGGCTGTCTACCTCACAATCGAAACCCATGACTGCACAAACAGAGCTACGGCCCTCATTCCCCGGAAGCGAAGGAGCCCCTGGTTACGGCGGCGATCAGGATCGCTCCGGAGCAGAGGGTGCTAAGAATCTCCGGCCAAGAACAGGCCGCCCTACGTTGATGAACCTTTGCACATATAATATAAGGACAATGAGAACGGAATCCGACTTACTAGCATTACTTGAGGAACTCTCTTTCATTAAATGGGATGTTGTAGGACTCAGTGAGGTTAGAAGACTAGGCGAAGAACAGAAGATACTAAATGATGGACACGTGCTCTATTGGAGAGGTAAACCTCAGGGTAGCAAGCAAGAATTAGGGGTAGGTTTCTTAGTTCACAGACGTTTAGAAAAGAATATCGTAGAATTCCATAGTATAAGCGAAAGAGTGGCTTCAGTAACAATAAAACTTAATAATAGGTACAACTTAAAGATTGTTCAAGTCCATGCTCCAACCTGCAGCCACAGTGATGACGAAATAGAAAGCTTCTATGAAGATGTTCATTTAGCCAGCGAAAGAGTAAAAACCCATTTCACAATAATTATGGGTGACTTCAATGCCAAAATAGGTAAAAAGACAGAAGGAGAAACCGTAGTGGGGAATCACGGAATAGGCACTAGGAATGAGAGGGGACAAATGCTAGTCGACTTTGCGGAGGCTCGATCTCTCAATATCATGAACATATTCTTCGAAAAAAGACTAGAGCGGAAGTGGACATGGAAGTCGCCATCGGACATCAAAAACGAAATTGACTTCATAATTTCAAATAGGCGCGATATAGTAAAAAATGTGGAAGTTATTAATAAGGTAAATGTTGGCAGCGACCATAGGTTGGTCATTGGCCAGATTAAATTACACCTCAGAAGGGAAAGGAATAAACTCATACGAAAACCGCAGACAAACTTGGCTAAATTGAAGACCAAAGCGATAGAATTTAGCATTAACATCCAAAACAGATATTCACTTCTCAGTGATGAGGATCTCAACATTGATCAGATCAACAAACAGTTCAATGACATAATAAAGGAAGCTGCACTTGAAGTAGCTGGTAAGAACGTCAAACAAAGCTCCAGTAAGCTCTCGATGGAAACTAAAGAATTTATGCAAAAACGTAGGGTCATGAAAGCATCGAAAAATGCAACAATTATTTTGATTCATAAAAAAGGGGACAGGAAAGATCTAAAGAACTACCGACCCATAAGTCTCCTTTCAGTTACTTACAAACTGTTCACTAAAATCATCACAACTTGCATCTCTGACAGTCTGGATTCTAACCAGCCTAGAGAACAGACAGGCTTCCGCAGTGGATTCTCAACAACAGACCACATACACACGTTTACCCAAATAAGAGAAAAAATAAACGAATATAGGAAACTCCTGTGTATGGCATTCATCGATTACGAAAAGGCATTTGACTCTGTACAAATACCAGCAGTACTAGAAGCTATTCGAAGACAGGGAGTAGAGGAGATATATTGTAAATTATTAGAAAATATGTACGAAGATGGGACAGCAACCATCAAGCTCCACACAGAAACCGATAAAATCCCAATTAAGAAAGGTGTTAGACAGGGCGATACCATCTCACCAAAATTGTTTACAGCTTGCCTTGAGGAAATATTCAAGAAGCTAGAATGGACCGGAAAGGGTATCAGAATTGGGGACGAATACCTAAACAATCTAAGATTTGCAGATGATATTGTTCTCTTCAGTGAATCCGCAAATGAATTGCAGCAATTAATAAATGATTTGAATAGAGAGAGCCTGAAAGCCGGTCTTAGGATGAACAAGAAAAAGACTAAGATCATGTCCAACAGTAGAGTTCAATTCGAAGAGATACATGTTCAAGGCGAAGCACTAGAGGTAGTAGACAAGTATATATACCTAGGACAACTCGTACAGACAAACACATCTAGCGAAGAGGAAATTAAGCAACGCATCAGTTTAGGCTGGAGCGCCTTCGGCAGACACAGTTGCATACTAAAAGGCTCCTTGCCATTATGTTTAAAAAGAAAAGTCTTTAACCAATGTATCCTCCCAGTTATGACCTATGGATCAGAAACATGGACTACAACCAAATTACTGGAAAGGAAACTATTAAGTGTCCAGAGAGGGATGGAGAGGTTGATGCTGGGAATTAGTCTAAGAGATCGGATGAGGGCGACGTGGATTAGGGAACAGACAAAAGTGGAAGATATACTCGGGAGCATCAAAAAGAAAAAATGGCAATGGGCAGGTCATATATGTCGGAGACAGGACAACAGATGGACAAGGAAAGTATCAGACTGGGTTATAGATAACATTAGGAGGCCAAGGGCCAGACCTGTGACAAGATGGCGCGATGAAATAGCGAAATTTGGGGGCCAAGACTGGGAACAAAAAGCGCAAGACAGACATGGATGGAAAAGATTGGGAGAGGCCTACGTCCTGCATTGGATTGACCCAGGCTGATGATGATGATGATATATATATATATGTATATATATGTAGTATATGTATATATACATACATACACATACACATGTATATGCATATATACATATATGTTTATATATATACATTTAGATATTCATTCATACATATATGTATGTACATACACACACACACACACACACACACACACACACACACATATATATATATATATATATATATATATATATATATATATATATATATATATATATATATATATATATATATATATATATATATATATATATATATATATATATATACATATATATATATATATATATATATATATATATATATATATATATATTTATACATATATGTATGTCTATTTATGCATATGTATACACATATAAATATTTTAAATGTATGTTTATATATGTATGTATATACATGTGTGTGTATATGCATATATAAATGTATATATATATATATATATATATATATATATATATATATATATATATATATATATATATATATATATATATATATGTATATATATTATACATATATATATATATATATATATATATATATATATATATATATATATATATATATATATATATTAATATATATATATATATGTATATATAATTTATACATATACATATATATATATATATATATATATATATATATATATATATATATATATATATATATATGTATATATATATATATATATATATATATATATATATATATATATATATATATACATTTCTATAGATATTTTATATATGCGCGTATACACACACACACACACACACACACACACACACACATATATATATATATATATATATATATATATATATATATATATATATATATATATATATATATATATGTGTGTGTGTGTGTGTGTGTGTACATATGTGTATGTGTATGTATATAGTGTGTATATAAATATATATTTGTATATATATACATATATATACACACATAATTTTAATAGAGAATGTCCCCTCAAGAACGTGTTTTATCCATTAAATTAATCAGTTTTCTATCAATACTGCTGACTAACATTTTCTTTTACTTTTTTCACTGTTCAATGAAAAATCTACCCTCGCCCTAGCCATGGTTGTGGTAGTGCTGGCGTCATATTGCCTGCCTCTCCGCCTCTATTACACCCGGATCGTCATGCACCTGATTTCTCTCGCTGTCCTGATTGGCTGTTTCTTCACCCTCTTTGCTACGCTGCCAGCCAATGGGGGCCCGGTCCCACTTATAGGTACGTGAGATGTGATAGGGAGAAAGTTTTATTTTTGTATATATAGATACATATATGCATAAATGTATAATTTCTTTTCCAGTACAAACATATATATATATATATATATATATATATATATATATATATATATATATATATATATATATATATATATATATTTTTTTTTTTTTTTTTTTTTTTTTTTTTTTTTTTTTTTTTCATTTTCACTCATATGTTAAGTTCTTATAATAATTCAAAGAAATATTATTCTCTGGAGCCTTAAGTAGTTATACATGATATAATATCATAAATATTGTATATGAAATTTGTCGTGGTGAAACCAATGCAAAAAAAGCATCAATGCACATACACGCACACCAAGGAAATGTCCATGTATATATGTAGAGGTTTTAATTATTTAAGATAAAAGTTATCACAAGTATTTCCTCCTGAGTTATTTTTCAAAATTACTTACAAATAATACTTGTTACAAGCTAGAATGTTTCTTGTACCTTTGATACATTAATCAGTTTTGTTATCTCGTACTTTAAGAGAATCGTTATCTTCTATGAAAGATTAAAATTCATTCATACTATCTAGAAGCTGTATGTATATATGCTACAAGAACTAGCTTCTGATACAGAACGGAATGATAAAATAAGTAAAACAGCTTATAAGCCTTTCTGTGCGGCTCAGCTAAAACTGTGTAGTCTCTCCAGGGAGGAAATGTCTTCTGAAAGAATTCCGGTTTATTATGGGCAGATACGTTATCGCACGGTATCTCCGATAAAACAGAATCTTTTGCGTCCCCGTACTTGGTGTCCAGAAAGATACGTATTTTTTTCCAGTTACCATTTTTACTATTTTTCCATATCGCACAGTATTAAAGCTAGTTATAATGATACTACTAGAATACTACATATGGTGATAATAATAACAATATTAGTAACAATACTAAGACAAATTACATTATTAATAACATTGATAATAATGATAATGATGATAATTTTGATATTAATAAAAATAATAATAATAATGGTATTAATTATAATAACAATGTGATGACAAAGATGATAACGATGTTGATGACAATGATAATAACGATAATATTTATCATACCGATGGTAACGATAATATTAATGATGATTATGATAACAATTATGACCATGATAATAGTAATAACGCTAACAATATGATAAACATTATTATCATAAATATTTTCACTGTTGTTTTGTGTTGTTGTTAACATTATTTATATTACTAAAATAACAGTAACAATGATAAACAAACTAAGAAACAAATGCCATTCTCTATTCCTAAGTTTTTATTCTGATTTCGCAGACATGAAGGATTTTGCAATTATAATGCTGCTGTTGTTGTCGCTATTATTGTTATTGTCATTTTCATTAATAATTCACTATTTTCGTCATCTTAGTTATCATTATCATATTTATATTATTATTGTCATTATCCTTATCATTTCAATTAACATTATCACAATTGTTGCTATTACCATAAATGTTATAAAGTTCATTCTATTATCAAATTATCATTATTGTTATTGTTATTCTTTTTATTCCTATTATTTTTATCTTTATCGTTATATCATTATCATTATTATTTTCATTATCATTATTATTATTATTGTTATTATTATTATTATTATTGTTATTATTATTATTATTATTATTATTTATTGCTAATACTATTACTATTGATAGTATTATATCATTATTATTATTACTATTATAATTATTATTAGCTATTGCTACTGCTATCACTAATCTTATCATTATTATTATCAGTATTATTATTGGTATTTATTATCATTATTATTATTATTATTATTATTATCATTAACATTATCATTTTTGTTGTTGCTTTGATAATTATCATTATCATTATAATTTTCACTCCCATTATGATGATCAATATTATCAATATTATTGTTATTATAATCACAATCCTTATTATTTTCGTGATTATTATTATTGTCATTATTATTATTATTGTTATTATTATTATTATTATCATTATTATTACTATTATCATTTTTATTATTATCATCATCATCACTGTTGTATTATTAATATTATTATCATTGTGATATTATTATTATTATTATTATTATTATTATTGTTTCTATTATTATCCTAATTGTTATTCTTATTATTACCAGTATCATCATTATTATTATTATCATTATCATTATTATCACTATTATTATTATTATCATTATCATTGTTGTCATTGTTGTTGTTATAATTTTGTCAATCTTATTTATTATTATTATTACTATTATTATTATTATTATTATCATTATTATTATTAATATTATTATTATTGTTGTTGTTCATGTCGTTGTTGTCATGATTTTTAGATCTTTAATAATTGTCATTATCATTATTATCCTTATTATGGCTATTATTGTAAATATTGTTATAAGTACTGTTACCCTTGCTGTTGTCATTATTATCATTACCAATATCCTCATTATTATCTTTACCGTCATTATTATTAAAATTATCTGGTCACAAGTAACACTTCATTCTACCATGATTTTTATTATCATTCTGTCATTGTTATTATTATTATGGTTATCACTATTGTTGCTACTGTTATCATTAATGTTGTTATAATTATCATTAATGTTATCACTGTTATTAGCATTTTCTTTATTATCATTAGTTTTAATATTATTACTGACGTATTTTTTATATTATCATTATAATTTTATCGTTACTATTGTGATCATTATTCTTTATTAATTTTATTATAGTTTTGATTTTATCTCTGGTATTAGTACTATCATATTTGTGGCTTT